GGGTTGCTATGAGCCCCACAAAAAGGTCTCCAAGCCTACCTTTTCGCAGAAGAGTATGTTAAATGACCTGGCGCTACCCTAAACGTTAGAATGATGTTTTAAATACTCATCTGCAAATTCAGAGACTTGGAGACCATTTCGCGGGGCTCATGGCGTCCCACGCACCCCCTCTCTACTACGGCATACCTGTGGGGCAATATTGTGTACGCGGTTGGGATACACTAGATCTGTCAGCTGAATCTGCATCCAGAGAATCGGAGCCAAAATAATTTTTCTCATTTCCTCAGAGCCATAGAAGAAGACTGCTGGGGATATCAAACATTGGATTATGTCAGAAGACATCGCCAATGAGAACTGTTTCACGCCTGAAATTTAGTTTGAACAAATTCTCTCGCAATTATTCTTAAAGAGACTGTTGTTCTAGCTTCAAGAGACCCTTGATTTAAAGAGTCACTTGTGATTAGTGATTAGTTTAAAAAGACTTGTGATTAGTGATTAGTTTAGAAAACACTTGTGATTGATGAATAGTTTAAAAACACTTGTGATTAGTGATTACTTTAAAAACACCTGTGATTAGTGATTAGTTTAAAAACACTTGTGATTAGTGATTAGTTTAAAAACACTGGTGATTAGTGATTAGTTTAAAAAGACTTGTGATTAGTGATTAGTTTAGAAAACACTTGTGATTGATGAATAGTTTAAAAACACTTGTGATTAGTGATTACTTTAAAAACACCTGTGATTAGTGATTAGTTTAAAAACACTTGTGATTAGTGATTAGTTTAAAAACACTGGTGATTAGTGATTAGTTTAGAAGACACTTGCGATTATTGATTGGTTTAGAAAACACTTGTGATTAGTGATTAGTTTAGAAAACACTTGTGATTATTGATTGGTTTAGAAAACACTTGTGATTAGTGATTAGTTTAAAAAAACACCTGTGATTAGTGATTAGTTAGAAAACGCTTGTGACTATTGATTAGTTTAAAAACACTTGTGATTAGTGACTAGTTTAGAAAACACTTGTGATTAGTGATTAGTACAGTTTAAAAACACTTGTGAATTGTGATTAGTTTAAAAAACGCTTGTGATTAATGATAAGTTAAGAAAACACTTGTGATTAGTGATTAGTTAAAAAAAGATCCTAAATTGTTTGTGCAGTTGAAAGTCACAAAGTTAAAACTTCAATCATTGATCATATTCGAAGCTTAATTATGGGTACTGTTGTGAATCGGACATACTTTAAATGAAGGGTGACTTGAAATCAGGTATATATATGTGTGTGTATATTAGTCCAATTTAAACATGAATTTCCTACCCAGGGTTTGATTTGTTCCGTTAGAGTAGAATAGAATATAAAGGAATGTTGAAGGGCTGAAGAAGAGAATTAAATGTATAATTCCTAAAATATTACAAATCTTATAAATATAGTGTCACAGTTATCCAGACCGCGTTAAATCAAGTCAAGTGCACCTACTCTTCTTGTTGAAGAGATATTGAGAAGAACAAAATTATTTTCAAATTCAAATATGTAATCAGATAAACCCGCTTCTCATATTTGTTGATAAAATCTGAACTGGAGGAGCTACGAGGTCACTAGTTCACAGTAAAACAGCTTTTTAAATGTTGCATCAAGTCGGCTATAAAGTGGCACACCCCCTTAGCTATTGGTTTACTCACTTACTTTTGTGTAAAACTATAAACATGCAAATTTATCTGATCTAGTACGCGCCTGTTTCTAGCTTTACTTACATAGTTTGAGAGAAAAGAATTGACTAAATACTGATCGATTAATGCATGAGAGAGCGCACGTTTTTGATCCCTGTATTTTATTAAAGGGGCAGTAAACGTACTTTCAATTAACTCTCCATTTACAGAGTAACATGCAAGATTCACAACCATACCCCTTAAATTTTTATCTCAGAAAAAAATGAAGAAAATATCTTCGTATTTATTTCTTGAAATATGTTTAATTTTTACCATTTTCCTCATTACCTTTGCTTCATAAATATATCTTCAGATAAAGAATTGTATGGAATAACCACAATTGAAAGTTATCAATTTTCAAATTTAAAAAAAGGATAACTCTTACCTCCTTTAGAATTAATAAGATAAAGATTTGAAATGTACAGTTGTGAACAGAATAATCCATACTTTACAGTCCCTTTAAATTTTGCTACGTAGCGCTGGATACCCTGGTTACTCATAGTAACCGCCGTTTACCCGCGAATGGTTTTAAATTATGATTTTAGCTGAAACGCCCGGGGTTGCCCATGAAATCGGAACAGATTCCATATTTTTTAGCCTATGTCAACCCTGAGGTACCCATTGGTTTCCTTAAAAAATCAGGAAATGGATTTGTTTGCCATAATAAAATGTCTACCTATTCTTGCTGGCAAGATATTCCTCTGTCTATCTCTAGCTCTGTCTTGAGCTAAATTAATTATTTGATCATTATTACAATTCTAAATATTAAAACTCAAATATCAAAACCAAATTTCGTTTCAAATTCAATTTTTAGTAAGTGGTGCTTCAAAAATTTACTCCTTAATTCTTAAAATTTAAACTTTTGAAACTGAAAATACAAATATGGAATTCATTGTCACTAGAAATAAAGAACTCGTGTACTTTAAACTCGTTAAAAAATAAATTTCATGTGAATTAAACAAATATGTATCTGCAATTTGAATGTTCAAGATCTTACTGTTATTCATGTATTTCTGAATAAATAAATGTGCCATCCTAAGTTCTGAGCTAGCTGTTGATTCTGATTGAGCTAAATACTCCTATTACTTTCCCCCTACTTATTGGACGAAACCCCTCCAATTTTGTATGATTTAAAAATTATATCAGACAATTACATCCGGGTTTGCCATTAAAGACAGCCAATGTTGGCTTGGCAAATCCCGTCGTTAAAGTGTTAGTTTTAAGATTATATCTATGTAAAATTATGTACTTTAATGATAAATATATATCTATCTAGTATCTATCTATCTAAAATATGGAATTACTACTCAAAGATTCTGTCGAGTTTAATATATTTTTTGTAATATTATAAAGATCTTTGATAGAAATTATATGTAAGGCAGCCCTAAAAATGGTATTGCATAAAATTGTCTTGCAAAAAGGTTTATGTACTGTTTAATGCAAAAATATCAGAATATCAAATGCCACATGCAATGCAGTACGATCCGTTGTCATGATTTTTCTCTGATTTGTTTACATTTCTAGCTTGTAGACCTAATTGAAATGTACTGCGTTTGTACTGTATAATTCGGCATTTGATCATTTGGCATTTGATATTTAGATTTTTTTTCCCTGTTTAATAGTTGCTTTTCTCTAGATATACCTTTCAAAATGATATATATTTCCTTTAAAAAGATTATGAAATTCTTTAAAAGTTAAAAAAAATGTAAATGTTGTTAAGGAACGGAAATGTCGGTCTCTAAAATTAATGGCTACTTGAAATTTTACTTTTTTAACGGACCGGTAAACGTCCAGAAAAAGTTGAAATGTCCCCAGCCCTACCCCCCCCCCTCCACTTTACTCTATATAGAGACTGCATGCATAAGGAATATGTGTTTGAGTTTAGTTGGTGAATCTGAAAAGATGAGAGAGCAAGGTTATCTAGGAGTATTTATAAAACCTGTAAAATGTTGGCTTTGTAGGGAAGTCACAACAAAAAAAAACATTTTTTTTTTCAAAATCAGCCAACATTTGGCCAATGATGCAAAACAAGAACAATACAAATGTAGATTTAAAGAAAAATAGAGAAATCAAAAAACCAGAAGCTGCTATCGTATGATTATATACACAATTTTGTAATAAAATTTGTTCAAACCAGTATTCAAAAATAAATGTGAAAAAAATGTATGATATTCTTTTAAAGTTTAAGAGATTCTTTTAAGTTTTATGAGATTCATTCAAAGTTTATAAGATGTATTTAAGATTTATAAAATACTTTTAAAGTTTATGAGATTCTTTTTAAGTTTAGGAGATTCAATTAAAGTTCATGCAATTCATATTAAATCTGTTAATTTGTGAAACCTAACTCGTTACCCAACCTGAACCAAAATACTAAGAACCTTTTAATTATTAGATGTCAATACAATGTAACGAATTAGGTTTTCTTTAGTAAAAAAACACATATATCAAGAAATGAAAAGTAAGAAAATAAAATACAAATTTTTTAAGCAGACATTTCTATTCCCACCCTCCCTCCACCAACCCAGATTTTATTTCATTTCAAGGTTTAGATTCATCAAATTTGCCCCAAAGTGGAACATATTAAGTTGAATAAATAATAAACATTTTGATAAATACCTCTTAATGCAGAATTTGCTTCCGTATTATTCTTCAAAAACAGAAACAATCTAATTATATATTTATAAAGATAAGAATATCAACACCAGATTTTCCGACAAATTAAACAAAAAGTTAATTAAAAGTTAATTAAAAGTTAATTAAAAGTTAATTAAAAAAGTTAATTAAAAGGACTGAAAACTAAATTTAAAGGGACTGTATACAACCCAGCATCCATCCCTTCACCTTTCAACCTTTCTCTAATTAAGGATGAATGAGATAAAACATATATTTGTTTTAAAAAATTGCTGAAGAAACAATTTAGAGATCTAAATGCACCGTTGTGAATCGGACATGGCACTCATGAAGGGCCAGCTTAAATCATGTCTACAATCCCATTAAACGATGGAATCCAGATATAAACCTTAGGTAACAGTAGATACTGATGATATTGTAAACAGCGGCCACTGTCCTGAAAGTCAAGTAAATTACAAAAATAATCTGCTTTAATCTAGATTTAGTAATCTTTCATGTATGGAAAAAAATATATTGTTTCCACATTGTGGAAAATTAATTCTCATTTGTGTGATAAGCTGTTCAATTCGTTTTAATCTGTTTGGTGAACAAATGCGAAACTTTCGCGAAAAAAGAACTGCAAAAATTTTGCGAACAATGCGAAAATGTCGCGAAAAAAAATTGAATCAAAGTAAATGAAGAGAAATTATTAATTATGATAAAGTAAAACTTATAATGTTCTCAGGGCAGAGAGTTACACAAGTTTTTTTTTGCGCAAATAATTGTTGCAGCAGCAAAACTTATGGTTTTCCCCCCAAAAAAAAATCCGCGAAAAAAAATTCACTTTAGTTTTATCGCGGAATTTCGCATTTTTCTCTTATTTCGTAACCGAAAAAGCGCAAAATTTTGCGAAAAAAAATCCAACTACGAACGAAAATTTTTGCATTTTGTTGCGATAGTTTTCGTTGGAAATCTTATTTCAATCACAGTTTCTTATTTTTGATATCAATTGATTAGCGAAGAAATTTTAAAATAAGGCTTTCTCATGTAAAATGTGACCTTTTTATTAGGATTTTGATTATTTATTGCAAATAATAAGTTCCATAAGTAAAAAAAATTTTAAAACTTTTCTTAATTTAAAAAAAGGTTAAATCATTATTTGAAAGTATTTGGGTAATGGTCTGTTTTATCAGATGTGTCAAAGTGAAAAATTTAATATAATATATTTTATATATATTTTAATTATCTTGAGCTTGAACAAAATGATAAAATAAGCTGAGAATTTTGAATTTTTTACCAAATATGGATTGCAGTACTAGCAAGGTTAGCATGAGTCTGCGAAGCGTCCATACAGGCTGAAATATAAATAAGCTATTTTAAATTTTAAATTTGTATTTCAATTTTATTTATTTGAATTTATTTTTAAAAATCAAAGAACGCTGAACAAAAACATTTTTAGAAAAAAAGATTTCGTTTTGAGCTTTGAGAACAAAGAAAAACAAGATTTCAAAATATAAAAAACATAATAAATAAATTAATGTTTACTGTGGAAGAGTAGGGTCGACTGAGCAGGTGTGAATAATGTTAATCCAAGAAGGAAAACCTCGGAGATAAAAACACAACTGAAATTTGGATTTATTTAAAATACGACTCTTTTTGGTTAAAACATTGAATTTAAAATAGTTAAATTTAAATTTAGATTGTCGTCGGAAGCCTGAACATTCTGGAAAGAATTTTTTCCGCCAGAAGCCTGAAAATTCCGGAAAATTTTCCGCCGGAACAGTTTTTAACGGGAAAATCTCCGTCGGTAGCCGCTAATTCCGAAAACTTTTCTGCCGAAAAACTTTTTCAGCGGAAATCTTTTCGGGCGGAAAATTTTCCGGAATTCCCGGCTTGGCTTCCGGTAGAAATTTCCGTGACAGAAAGTTACTGGAATTACGTTTTCTGGTTCATCTTTTCCGGTAATTAAAATTTTCGCCAGAAAAATTCTGGTAGAAAATTAAGCATTTTAATTTAACCCCCTCGGCCCCTTGGATACCTGAAAACAAATGAACTCTTTTTAAACAGCTTCTGAATCTTGACATTGTTGGTTCGTCTAAAATAAAAGAATTATATTATATTAATATCTAACATTTTAAGAAGTTTTAAATTTTTATTTTTATATTTTAATATTTTTCAATCTGAAGCCGAATTTAATGAATTTAAGCGGCGTCTCAAATCTCCCATAAATCGGGTTTAGTTGAGCGCCGGCTTAAATCTTGAAAAACTGAATACAATTTTAACCCTATTCCTGCTGGGGGGGCAATTTACCCCCCCCCCCGTAGTTTTTTTACATAACTCAAAAAGTATTGGTCTGAGGCTGTTGAAATTTTCTGACTTTTCTTTTATACCCAAAGTCCTCCCTTTAGGCCTAAAACCGGGCTTTAATACTAACTGCCTGAGTCCTCAGGCACACTGCATGAATGACTGCTTTTGCCTGTAACAAACTAAATTTTTGTTTTGACCCACTTTCACTTGTCAGATTTTGATAAAATTTAGCTTTTTAGAAAGCCTATGACATAAGGAAACGGATTGCATAAGTTTTGCGAAAAAAAATTGCAAATTTTTTGCAAACAACCTGTCAAAGGAAATTTGCACATTTTTAGTTTTTATTAATTGAAAATCAGATTATTTAAAATTTTGCAAAAATTTTTGCATATTTGAAATGGCATGGTCAAGGGCTTTTTAAAAATGTATAATTTTTCATTTTTGGACAAATTTTATTTGCAAACATTTTTACTATATAACTGGATTTTGCGATAAAAAATTCAATTTTTGCTAATTTGCAAATTTTTTTGCAGATTCTAAAAGTAGAGCACAAGAGCTTTCTAATGATGTATCATTTGTCATATTTGGACATAAAACATGGGATTTAGAGGGGGGGTCAAATTGACCCCCCCCCCCCAGCATATCCTGGTTTTCAAGTACCCCAGCAGAAGAATCAACAATATTTAAGCCTCGGCTTAAATTTAAGCCCCGGCTTAAATTTAAGCCGCGGCTCAAATTCTTTAAATTCGGCCACTGATGTTTGTTCTTGTTTAAGAACTGAGATGGGCGCGAATGGCTTTTCTTCCATTCAATCGTTCATCGTTCGTTAGGACACATTTCATTCGGTTTTTTTTCAGTCGGACAGTAACAATTTGAAATTGAATTTTCGTTCTTTTTATATATCTGTGTATTTTAGTAAAATTAGACCTCTGACTCTATTGGTCAGAGTGCAAGGGAGATTTTAAAAAGAGTTTGAAATAAAAGTCATAAATCGACATGCTACACATGAAACATACATCTATTTTTGAAAGGTTTTTTAAAAATAGGTTTAGATCACAGGTGGTGGACCTTCCTCCCGCCATTATGATTGGGTTGAGGTGACGTACCGCTATAAGAAAGTAGGGGCAAAACACAAAAATGGCGTGTTTAACGCCCCCCGGCCCCTCGATTTATAAATTAAACTTTGGATTCCCTGTTTGTTTACCTTATAAAAGTATATCGAACCAGGGCAGTTGCAGCATTATAGTGAAGACTCCCCATCTTTAAATATTTAACTCATTATTTGTTATACAAGTTGTTTTGTTAAAAACATTATTGCTTATCACGGGAATATTTTTATATTTTTTATATTTCTTAATGATAGTGATAACATTTGGAGACGTTTCTTTGAAATGAAAATCATTTTCTTTAAGCTTTGAAAGTATTTGATTTTGTGGTGCAATAATTACCCTCATTTCTTTTTCTTTTTACAGCTTTCATTATTTATAAGAGACAAATTTTTGTCTTCAAAGGAGTTATGACTGAAATTTTGAATCTCTGAATCTTAGCAAAGCAATGTCGTAGACCTTAGATATTTCAAAATATAAGCTCTGGTAGAATAAAAAACTAGGAGAAAGCACAGGTGAGTTAGAGCAGTAAAATCTAATGGTGCAACACTTCAAAGTCGACCCTGTCTTAAAAAATGATGAGACTCATTATAAGCAGGCTAAAGTGAACTATGACAGGTTGAACTAAAACTCTAGAGAACTTGTTGAACTATCCGTACCTTGCTATCAAGGTACTAATGCAAGGAAAGTTAATTGCGGTCGTGTATACTCTGCGTACACATTGAAACCAGTTCTCTCTGGGCGGACTTTGTAAGCAAGAATAGATGCATCAGTGTTCGTTTAGTATCCGAGGAGGATTAAAGCATTTATTTTTGATAACTTTGAAAATTCACATAATAGTTCCCTATGACCAGAATATTTCATAGATTATTTTTGTGAAAATGGATTCCATGTCAGGCTGTGGAATCCATCTTGTGTTTACTTTTCCTCCCAAAAACACTACACTGCAGTACAAAAAATGCGTACACCTCTGAAATAACTTTCTTTGCATTAGTACCTTGGTTTCTATCATCAATATATATCAAAAAATGTATGGGGAATAAAATGATTCTTGATTGATTTAATTGTTTCTCGTTCTTCATTAAAGGGACTGTAAGCGTAATTTAAAGTAACCCTCCCTTCAAAGATGGCAATACCCGATTAACAATGGTATACTTAACATCTTTGTCTTATCAAATATAACTTAGATATCCATATGTTAGTTTCTTTTAACTGTTTATTTTAATTTACGGTTTCTCTGCTAAAGTGTCTTGCGCATTTCTTGTTTATAAGAAATGAAGAAAATCACGGAAATATAAACTTTTTAGAAAAACGATGGTATCATTCACATTATTAATCAGATTAAGGTTTCAAGGGTACCGTTGTAAATCGAGCATTGCCATCTTTGCTTTAATGATCACAAAATATTACGCGAACAGTCCTTCTAAATCCGACCTCCATATTTTCAAAACTATAGATTGATTACGTTGATGAAGAGAGTTGAGAGAACCAGGATCTTACAAGCGTTCTCCTTCCCTAGATACATCTGGAACACAGGGTTCCTCATCAAACTGTAGTTTCTCCAGGGTAATAGTATCATCGTGTACACCAACCTTAGGATTAGTATTAGTATGTACACCAACCTTAGGAACAGTGTTAGTATGTACACCAAACTTTGGAACAGTGTTATTATGTACACCATCCTTAGGAACAGTGTAATTATTATGTACACCAACCGTAGGAACAGTTTTAGTATGTACACCAACCTTAGGAACAGTGTTAGTATGCAGACCAAACTTTGGAACAGTGCTATTATGTACACCAACCTTAGGAACAGTGTAATCATTATGTACACCAACCATAGGAACAGTATTAGAATGTACACCAACCTTAGGAACAGTGTTATTATGTACACCAACCTTAGGAACAGTATCATCGTGTACACCAACCTTAGGAACAGTGTTATTATGTACACCAGCCTTAGGAACAGTGTTATTATGTACACCAACCTTAGGAACAGTATCATCGTGTCTACCAACCTTAGGAACAGTATCATCGTGTACACCAACCTTAGGAACAGTATCATCGTGTACACCAACCTTAGGAACAGTGTTATTATGTACACCAACCTCAGGAACAGTGTTATTATGTACACCAACCTCAGAAACAGTGTTATAATGTACACCAACCTTAGGAATAGTGTTATTATATAAACCAACCTATAGGAACAGTGTTATCTTATACACCAAACTAAGGAACGTGTTATTATGTACACCAACCTTAGGAACAGTGTTATTATGTACACCAACCTTAGGAACAGTGGTATTATGCACACAACCTTAGGAACAGTGTTATTATGTACACAACCTTAGGAACAGTGTTATTATGTACACCCACCTTAGGAACAGTGTTGTTATGTACACTATCCTTGTTACCAACCAAGGAGGTTAAAATACTATAATAGAATCCGCGGAATTCTAGAATAGTATTTGCGGAATGCAGGAAAAGTATATGCGGAATACGGGAATAATATCTGCAGAATACGTGAATAGTATCTGCGGAATGCAGGAATCGTATCCGCAAAATACTGAAATAGTATCTGCAGAATATTGAGATACTGCCTGAGTAATACTGGAATAGTATCAATGGAATACTAGGACATTACCTGCCGAATACTAGAGTAATACATACGGAATACTGGGATACTACCTGAGGAATACTAGGGTACTACCTGAGGAATACTGGGGTACTTCCCGAGAAATACAGGGGCACTACCTGAGAAATACAGGGGAACTACCTGAGGAATGCTGGGGTACTACCTGAGAAATACAGGGGTACTACCTGAGGAATGCTGGGGTACTACCTGAAGAATACTGGGATACTTCCTGAGGAATGCTGGGGTACTACCTGAAGAATACTGGGATACTTCCTGAGGAATGCTGGGGTACTACCTGAAGA